ACTTTGTAATTTAAATAGACACATGCAATCTCACCTAATTGGAGCGGACACAGGGGTATGTGGTAAGAAATCAATTATGATTAGTAATCTATCTAATGTCCTGATCCAAATTACAGATCTTTTCACCTTCCTTTATTCCCGAAAAACTGCCAGCTCAATGGTTTTCGATTATAATATGTAGCCTGCTCTTTGGAAATTTATTGTTTTTTTCATTTCGTCTAAAGATTTGTATGGAAGAGATTCATACAGTGAGCTTATCGGAAATCGAGATAGAAGTGCTCTTCTATTATGACCGTAGATTTAGTAAAAATGTTTTTATATCTTCAAAGGCTGTTAACTTAAGAATAGTCTCTATTGTCTTGGATACTTTCATTTCAAGGCTGACTTCCGTTGTTCTGCAGCGGTTTGGTTTTAATACGACGTTTAGTTTAAGGCAGTCCATGGGGGACCCTCCTTCTTTTTGGAGGAAACTGGGTTAAGATTTCTTCTGTCATATAACGGACATCATTAGGGCTGAAACTCATTCTTGCTAAAGTATCAAGTAAACACTAAAATGTATAGATATAGATAAAGGTCTCATGGTCTGTGTCGAGTTGAATGTCGTTATAAAGCCAAACGGCTTCAGAACAGTAGGAATCAACCGTCTCATTTCGGTTAGATCAACCAACGAACCCCGTGATCGTGCACTTTCATACTAAATGAAAGTCTATATAGCAATGTCATTCCATACTAAATTCATGGAAATATAGCTATTCTTCACGACGGTATTTTATCCTGTTCCAGCTGATTTTTTGGAAAGTCCAATATTTTGATGCATAAACTTTTGCAGGCTGTTCGGTTGGCAGGTCCCCTTCACATTTACCCCATGACATGAACACAAGAACTTATAACAGCCTGATTCGAAAACCCAGCCTTTTTTCATACCTCGAAAAATACGCCAAAAATAGGATATTCCACATTTCCTATTGGCTCATTATAATGTAAATTTCTATCAGTCCAAATCATTAAAAGCTGCTGGCTCCTATACATGAGCTCGAGGCGAATTCGCATATTAGACGCTTCTGTGAGATTTTGGCTACATTTGTAGTTAAAGAAGTGACCTGGTATCCGAAAGATACTTTTTAAGGTGATGTAAGGTTTTTTCTGTGAGTTTCACTAGGCCGATTATCCCACAAATCCACTATCACTGCATTTTGAAGATGCCTTTACTTGGGTTTTGGGATTATAATTAGTCAAGCGAAACTATCATGATTGCATGCTTTGACGATAAACAGCTCTAAACTAGATTAGACCAAGAATTTAGTCACCCTAAGTCGCCTAAAGGGATTGAAAAACTGAAAATTTATTTTTTCCTATATAATTAATTTCACTTAGTCTCAGGTTAGACTGTAGTTTCGATCTTGCCTAGGCTACATCTGCACTTCCAAAAATATTCGAAATCAACTCGTGCGGAACTAAAGGAGGGCTGAACTGGAGGCCTAATCATATCATTATGGGAAAAGTTCCACTGACACTACATAAATCACCTTAGGCGACCTAAGATGACTAAGCTCTTATTCAAGAGTTACCGATAGTTTCGATGCATACTCACGTGGAATATATCCCAAATCAGTTATTATAAATAACGATTTAATCTTTATCACATACTGTTATAAAAACCAAATGTTAACTGGCCGGTTTAAAGCAATAAGTGGATTTAGATCGACACAACATTTCTGGTGAAAGTAAAGCGAAAAAGGACCCGAATCATACTTTTCAAAGTGATCGATTCTTCAGTTCACACTATAAACTTGTAAAACTACCAGGATTTACCATTCGATTCTGAGACCACAGCGATCCTTAAGAAAGGATTGAAGTTTGCACCTCAGAAATTAAGAAAGTTATTCAAGGCCATTTTAGCTGAGGTCATAAATATCTCTTAGAGTTCAACGGAAGAATCAAAGCGGGAGATTAAAACGGAGATTATCTAGAAAATTTCAACACATCAAGAGCCCTGGAGTAGAAACAGTATAACGAGAATATTAAGAACATTGAAAAGAAGTATCCAAACAGTTATACAAGTAGTCAAATAAGGCTTCGTAGTAGTCATAGACAGAAAACAATGCACAGAAAACAATTTGACAATCAACTCATTACTTCGAAAGAAAGCAAGAACACCGGAAGTTCACAAATATGTAGAACCACAACAATCACAGAGCGGGACTAACTAGTTACAGGTGTCTGTCTTAGCTTAAAAATGACTATCAGATACAGAAAAGAATTTCTATGAATTTTGTCAGTGTCAAAGAAATCCAGGTGGAGGGAAGGGAACTATCGGTGAGCTTTGATGTACTGTTGATGAAAATAAAAAATATCAAAACAGAAGAGGCTAACGACATTACTGGAGATCTTGGAAGACGAGAACGATATCCTGGAGACGGAGGGAACTAGTAAGGGTTATTTAATTTGATCGATCAACCTGACAATAAGTGCTACTTATTTCACGTTCAACGACTGCATCTATGTGCTCATCACTCTTACCTCTGTTGACTAACATCTATATGAAAGAGTTGGAGATGTAACCCTAGCAGCCAAAAGTGAGCAATCGGAACCTGGATAACTGTTTCACACTCTGTTTGCATGGAAAAGAAACCTGAACAAGTTCTTAGCGTTCTTAAACATCATTGATACAAAAGAAAAATTTAAAAAAGAGTTAAAGGAAAACTAACAGCTACCATTGCTGTAGTTCGATCCCAGTAGACTCTTAAGAAAAGATTTTCCACAGAGAAATCCCAAGCAGGAATTAATGAACCTAAATACAGACTGAAGAGAGGAATTCTCAGGAGTATGACCATAAGAAGTCTGAGACCAACCGATATTGATTTCTTGGACAATAAATATGATAAATTCGGATAATTCTTGAAAACGGATAACCTAAGGAAGCAATACAACGAAACCTACTAGCCATGATAAGCAGATAGAAGGAAGGGGGTTACTAAGGGAAGACAAGTGATACAGGGGATAGACGATTGCTATGTCTACCATCCTGCTAATTGACTCGGAAGCTGTGGCCGCTGCTAATGAAATGCAATATTCGTATGATGATGAATAAAAGGACAAATCTCTTCACAAGCCTGCCTACACAACATGAAAAACTTGCCAATATGGAGTGCTCTGCAGTTTACTGCATCAGCTGTAAGGGCTGTGAACGAAAGTACACCGGAGAGGTGAGAAGTACAATCAGCACAAGGATTAAAGAATTCCGGCGACACTGCAGAATCAGAAACACATAAGGCTCAGGTATAGCAGAACACGTTGCCTTAATCGGCAACACAATTGACCGGGATGCAATGGAAAGATTGGCCTTTTATGGGGAAAAGGCAAGAAGTCTGAAGATAATGGAGGCCGTAGCTATCCTCTTGCAGAGAATATTAATGAACAGGAGATTGTAAGAGGGAAGGGTCAGCGATTATTTTTATTTAATGTTGGGACAGACTGGTAAATTATAGATTCAGCAGGGACAGCCAACAGGATCCGCTTGGGTCAAGGAGAAATCCGAATCACGGGAAAAGTCGTCGCCAAAGAGAAGATCTTGAGGGACAAATGGAAGTCAAGAGAAGGCGACTCCAATGAGAAAAGTTTAATCAAGAAACCAACTTCAAATAGTTGTAACAGTTATCAGCAGTCACAACCGTCTTAATCGGCTACCATTAGGGATGGGAATTCAGGAATCTAGATATTGTTCAAGTCCACTTTAATGATGCAGTGGATGCTGAGGGCGTAATCTACTTTGGATCCCAAGACAGAGCCATAAGACCTGACATCTACTAACCTATGTGTTCTGACGAAACTGAGTGTAATGAAAACGTATGAATAGGTTGGGCTGAAATGGTGGATGGATTGATAATGCGAGAGAGCATTAATCAGAAGTGGATAAGTGAAGCGACAATTCGCTACACTAGAGGTTCGAAAGGAACCCATGCCTAGGAACCACAAGGAATTCGGGGCACAAGGATGGGAGAGTGAGATAGCTGGGTTATCGGAGTTAAGGAGCCAAAGGGGCTTTAAAGTGTGTCGGGATTGAGAATCAGGTTTATGGAGAGACATAATTAACGAGGCTAGTGTTCCTATTCTATCATACGTTCGGAGCCGGTCATGAGAATACGTCTTCGAGTAAGTCGTATATGGTGGCTTTGAATAAGGAATTATAGCTAGTCGGTAATATAGGATACGAGAGGACATCTGACAAGTCTAGAGAAGTGGCTTTCTGAATAAAGAACCAATTGAGATCAGGAAGACCTGCAAATAGGATGTGGAACCTGTGACGAAGATTAATACACCTCCTTAAACCAACCCGAAGGGTCATACAATTGAAATATATTTCAGCAAACAAGGCTACAGCGAAGTGTATACAGGAAAATTGGTCATATGGAGTGGGATTGAGTGATAAGGATGAAGCCCTAGGCGCTTAGGAGGACAGATGCCACCATCGTTTGGCAAATTGTAATTGTACCTCACCAAAAAGGCCGGCTAAGATGCTGAGGAAACGTCCGAAATTTACCAATTCATTGATCTGATGTAAGAAATTATCATGATTACTTTGGAAGAGGACGTAGGACTGGGTATGTTTCAAAGACTTTCCCTGCGTCCCGGCTATGTGGCAACACCAAATTAATTTATTTGAACACAACAATCGTAGTGAAGATAAAGCGAAAGTGGGACTCGAACAATTCGTTTTAAAATGATCGCTTCCTATGTGCACATATCACAGACTAGTAAGATAATGCTGATTCCATATGTTCACTGAATTTCGCTGCTCTTATTGGACTTGGGAAATAACTTTTACTAACATGAAGGCAGATAACATAATTGGATATGCTCACTTACATTCTCTTTGCTCTTCCAATCCCTGTCCCATTAGGACGACATCACTGTAATACAGCTCAAATGAAGTTTGGAACCTACTAAACTTTTTTACTTTATTCATCATCAACTCCAAAGCTTCCAGTATACAGAGCCGTCTAAAAGTACTGACCTTTGGCACCGGAACTCCTCATACTGCTGAGCAACGTTTCCAATCGCCTATATTCTCGTTCAAAATCGCTGTAGGCCCTTGAAAGCTTATTGAAGATATTTTGCCCGATTTTAAGATGGTTCTCGTACTTTTTTGAGCAGTAGCTGTCGTAATTTTTCTGATCATATTTCTGCCGGACAAAGCCACCCTCTGGCCCTCCGTTTATGCTGCCACCATCTTTCCTCTTGCCGTTGTTGCCGAATTTAGGTTGCGGGAGTTTGTCACTGAAGTCTATTCTGGACTGTGTGGTGGTCATGTAGTTTTTGGCCAGGGCACAAGAGCACACTATGACGCTTAACAGCAAGAAGTAGCCACAGGTTTGCATGATGCCGATTCCTTTGAAGAGTGGCCCTACTCATCTTCACCTCAGCCAACTCGAGCCCTATTTATACCTTAGTTTGGGCCGCATATAGTTCACCGGAGCCGGGCGACAGACAAAAGCTGTGCCCTCTATGATCTTGTTTATTCGGAAGAGAATGAAACAGATCGAGATATCGAGAGAAAACTATGCTGACTACAAATTTTACGATGAGGGTCAAGTTTATGGGAAAGGTAATGGGAGTGCCGCAGAGAGTTTTGTTTCCGACTACGCCATGGAAATCATTTTAATGGCGGAGGAGGAATTATGTTGTACATTAAAATGGACAATTTACTTGTATCATGCTTAAGCCAAGCTGTAAAGCCAGTGCCAACTTGTTTCTGCCTTAGTTGTAGATGGCTCATTGATCGTATCCACATCAAATAACAGTCGGCTTAATAAGACTAATTTACCACCAAACTCGCGCATCCTATTCAAACAGCAATCAAAACCATACCAAGTGTTATTGGTCAATTTGGACGGGATTTTCAAATGTAGACAGCTCTAGATGGCGGAGACGTTGTGGCAAAGTAGTTGTCAAAGGACCGCTCGGCAATATGCATAGTAGTGTCGGACTGACGACTATTCTGTTCATCTGACAATGCCTGTTCCGGTAAGAAGCCTGCAGAAAGCCAAAAGTTTGCTGTAAATCTCATCGTCCTAAAGTTATATTTGTTTGGTGTCTATTATTAGCTCAGATTGTGTCAACATGTAAGTTGCATTCAATGTGTTATAACACATGGCGTCATCGAGTGTAATGGCAAATACATGTTTACTTCAT